TCTCCTTGTGGACTGACGTCAACCTCTCCTTGTGGGTCAACCTCTCCTTGTGACTGACGTCAACCTCTCCTTGTGGACTGACTCAACCTCTCCTTGTGGACTGACGTCAACCTCTCCTTGTGGACTGACGTCAAACCTCTCCTTGTGGACTGACGTCAACCTCTCCTTGTGGACTGACGTCAACCTCTCCTTGTGGACTGACGTCAACCTCTCCTTGTGGACTGACGTCAACCTCTCCTGGACTGACGTCAACCTCTCCTTGTGGACTGACGTCAACCTCTCCTTGTGGACTGACGTCAACCTCTCCTGTGGACTGACGTCACCTCTCCTTGTGGGACTGACGTCAACCTCTCCTTGTTGGACTGACGTCAAACCTCTCCTTGTGGACTGACGTCAACCTCTCCTTGTGGACTGACGTCAACCTCTCTTGTGGACTGACGTCAACCTCTCCTTGTGGACTGACGTCAACCTCTCCTTGTGACTGACGTCAAACTGACGTCTCTCTTGTGGACTGACGTCACCCTCCTTGTGACGTGGACTGTCAACCTCTCCTTGTGGACTGACGTCAACCTCTCCTTGTGGACTGACGTCCTCTCCTGGACTGACGTCAACCTTGTGGACTGACGTCAACCTCTCCTTGTGGACTGACGTCAACCTCTCCTGTGGACTGACGTCAACTTGTGGACTGACACTGACGTCAACTCTCCTTGTGGACTGACGTCAACCTCTCTTGTGGACTGACGTCAACCTCTCCTTGTGGACTGACGTCTCTCCTTGTGACTGAAACCTCTCCTTGTGGACTGACGTCAACCTCTCCTTGTGACTCCTTGTGGACTGACAACCTTTCCTTGTGGACTACAACCTCTCCTTGTGGACTGACGTCAACCTCTCCTTGTGGACTGACGTCAACCTCTCCTTGTGGACTGACAACCTCTCCTTGTGGACTGACGTCAACCTCTCCTTGTGGACTGACGTAAACCTCTCCTTGTGGACTGACGTCAACCTCTCCTTGTGGACTGACGTCAACCTCTCCTTGTGGACTGACAACCTCTCCTTGTGGACTGACGTCAACCTCTCCGTACTGACGTCAACCTCTCCTGTGGACTGACGTCAACCTCTCCTTGTGGACTGACTCTCTCCTTGTGGACTGACGTCAACCTCTCCTTGTGACTGACGTCAACCTCTCCTTGTGGACTGACGTCAACCTTCTCCTTCTCTCCTTGTGGACTGACGTCAACTTGTGACTGACGTCAACCTCTCCTTGTGGACTGACGTCAACCTCTCCTTGTGGACTGACGGACTGACGGTGACTGACGTCAACCTCTCCTTGTGGACTGACGTAAACCTCTCCTGTGGACGTCAACCTTTCCTTGTGGACTGACGTCAACCTCTCTTTGTGGACTGACGTAAACCTCTCCTTGTGGACTGACGTCAACCTCTCCTTGTGGACTGACGTCAACCTCTCCTTGTGGACTGACGTCAACCTTTCCTTGTGGACTGACGTAAACCTCTCCTTGTGGACTGACGTAAACCTCTCCCTGACGTCAACCTCTCTTGTGGACTGACGTCAACCTCTCCTTGTGGGACTGACGTCAACCTTTCCTTGTGGACTGACAACCTCTCCTTGTGGACTGACGTCAACCTCTCCTTGTGGACTGACGGAAAACTGACAACCTCCTTGTGGACTGACGTCAACCTCTCCTTGACTGACGACGACTGACGTAAACCTCTCCTTGTGGACTGACAACCTCTCCTTGTGGACTGACGTAACCTCTCCTTTGGACTGACGTAAACCTTCCTGTGGACTGACGTAAACCTCTCCTTGTGGACTACCTCTCCTTGTGGACTGACGTAAACCTCTCCTTTGGACTGACGGACTGGTCAACCTCTCCTTGTGACTGACGTCCTTGTGGACTGACGTCAACCTCTCCTTGTGGACTGACGTCAACCTCTCCCTTCAACCTCTCCTTGTGGACTGACGTCAACCTTTCCTTGTGGACTGACGTCAACCTCTCCTTGGCTTTTTATCTGTTTATTTCTTCTTCCTCTTTGTATTTGTTGTTGATGTTATGTTCTTGTTATTGTGGCTGTTCCGTGATAGATGTTTGTATTTCTTCATTGATATTAAGTGGATTAGATGTTTTAAACCCTATAGAGAGAATGATCATCTGTAACAAAGTAATATTCAATTTTTTTTTCTTCTCCGTTTTGTACGTTTTATTCATATTTCATGTTCTTTTTTTATTTCACCATCTTCCCGAATCGTTTCCAGTAGTCAGATCTTTGGTGTAATATTGATCATATGAACAAAAGTGAAGTGGACAGAACAAATCTCAAATTAGGTCTTAATCTCAAGAGCGACTGTCAAGTATCAACTCGTTTTTTTTTTTTTTTTTTTTTTTTTTTTTTTTTTTTTAATGTTGATGAGTTTTGTCAATGTCTAGCCAATGCAGATTTCACAAGAATATATTATTAGGAATTGTATGTTTTATTGTCATGTTGGACACGCCAACGAAAATGTCAATATTGCTCTAGATCAGAACTCAGATTTGAAAAGATTTTTTTTTTTTTTCAATGCAAAGCTTTGTATATTTGAAGTGCCGCACCTGCGCAGGTAGAATGTGCCCATTTTGCCTTCTGGCGAGGGCAACTTGGTGGTCCTCGATCATACCTCCTTCCTGAAAAAGGCCTACAACTTGTTCTATAACCCCCCCCCCCCCCCATGTCTCCCTGACCAGTGACCCCCGAGAACGCTTTGCTGCCACCTTTCACCGTCGCTTGAAGATCCAGGGTCATCAACTCTTGTCTCCCTGAATTCTATGGTCAACCAAATCCCAGAAAGAAGGAGTGCTTTTGCGTCCTATCACCTCCTCCCGGGTATCTTGTGTAGGCTGGCAGTCTCTCACTCCCCTTCGTGGAGCCTTCGAAAAAGATTCTCTCCTGATCACCTCCGCCGCTCTTAGGTCTTCATCTTCCGTGTCTGGGGTGTCTCGTCGGCGACCAGGATGAGCTAGGTTGTCGACTTCCTTTCCACCAATGTCCCGCTTGATAATAATGCCTTCGCTCTCCTTCAGAGGAGAATCCTTTCCGAGGAGCCTCGTCTCCCTCTGCCCACCGACTTCCTCCTCCAGCTGATTCGGCTGTGTGGTCTAATTCCTTTTTCTTTCAGGGTCGCTCCCAGGTGTTCGGTGGTGCCATAAGCCAGTCTCCAGTGCTGGCAAACTTGTTTACGGCGTAATCTGATTCTGAGCTTCTCCCTTCCATCTCCTTTTGTTCCTGGGTTTGGCTGAGGCAGGTCGACGACGTCTTTGCTCTCTGGCCTCATGACCCTG